AACATATAATACTTAAAAAATAATTTGTATATTAAATGATATATAACATTTTTTTTTAAATCAAGTCATTTATGATTTATGAATGGCATTTCTGAAGTATTTTTGTCTAACCATCAAGCAGAAAAAACTAAATCAGAGAGGACCCCTGCAGACTCTACTGCCTGTGTGTCAAGGTTTCTTAAAATATCAAATATCTTTTTAGGTTAGCTCAAGCTGTAAAATGTACACTCACATAAGGTGTATGGAAAATGTTACATTGAAAATTGTCTTTAAAATGGTATAAATGTTATTTAAAACCATATGAAAGCAACATGAATACAAAGAGTACATCTCTAAGAACTTTCAAAGTGTTTTTCTTTTCTTTATCATGGACACTCCTATATGTCATTGACCCAAATGCCAATTTGACTTGAACACAAAAGACTGTGAGTGTATATTTTCAATCTGAAGCCCAGGTAAAACCAGAGCCGTGACAAAACCTCACTGATGCGAATGTCAATATGAATTGCTTTCCTCACAATTCTGTGTAACAAACGGGCCACATCTTACATCTACTTTCTTACCCTCAGTGTGTAAACTTGCCATCTCTCCCCTCCAGAAATCAATAGCTTCCATTTCTGCGCTGTACACTGCTGTGTTGTGTCAAGAATATGTTAGACAGATTAATATCAAAACAAGCTTTGCCCACACCTCCCCGATTCCCCTCCATGACAAGCTCTTCTGTTTGTTGCTTATGCAAGCAAATGCTGATTCTACAGAACTACAAAGACAGCCGTTCTCGAGAATTTCTCGCAGTTGTATTTATGTTCAGACAGCACAGAGGGCAACAAAACTTCCAGGCATAATGTCAAACTTGAAAACTTTGGTGAGCGCTCGAGTTAGGTATAACATTTAATCCCCAGATGAATTTATGCAACATATTTGATATCTTGATACGCGCCGTTCTCTGCAAACCAAAAAAAAGTGGCGATGAACATGATTTTTCGGGCTCTTTTGTGTGAAATCCATGACATGAAAAGATTTAATTAAGATAAGAGACTGGTAATAATTAATTCTGCTTCCTTCTGTCAAGAACACAGCAATGGCTGAATAAATTACACAAGCCCTGCCTTTTATTTATTATAATTTCCCCTTTCGGAAGAAGCCGTTTGAGTTTTTCAAAGCTAAAGAAAGTTTGGCAGGGTCTCTGAAAGTAGTTCCACAGCTCGAACCCACATCACTGTGACAAACGCCGAACGGAAGGCTGCATTCAGATGGAGTGTATTCATTACCACATGTCTAGATGTGTAGGAGACAGCGAGGAGGGTTTGAATTACCATGTCCGCATCTCACCATCTCATTTCCAACATGACCCAAATTAAAGAGGGAATGCTAGGTGACCTATTGCTACAGGCGACATCTTCTCAAACCAGTCAAAAACATCTGATCTAATGGTTATAAACTACCCAACACAATCCAGTCATTGTTTCTTTGACTCCTTCTAAAAATAACATGAATACCCAGCCAAACCAAGGGCATTCCAAGTACAGAATCCCCTCAAGTTTATTGCTTGGCGCACACAACGTCGTAAGTGGGCTGGATAAAAAGAAACGAACATTTGTTTTATCGAAAGCAAGATGTTTTCCTCAAGCCAACTTTCTAAAACGCCACAGAGATAATTAACGGGACAAAGCTTTGCCAAATCTTACACTAATGACCTCTGTGTGGGCAACACGCCCCTGAGTTTGAGAATCTGGTAGTGTTCAGTTTGCCGCTCACATGCCGGCTTGAGCGGCTAAAACTCTGAAGGACATCCGCTTAAAGACATTGAACAAACGGCCTACAAAACGATCCTAATTAAAGGTTGCTTTGTCAGGTTTCAGCTAGTGATTAAACATCTTTTATTGAGTTGGAACGGGCAGATGCACATACAAATACGCTTCAAAAGTGGGGTGAAACTTCAATATGGATTGGTTTCTGTCATTTGAAGGGGAAAGACTTCAATTGTGCTTATAATAGCAGGATACTTGTGTGTCTATGATGTGATTCTGTTTAATTAAATATCTGTGGATAATTTGGTCTGGGAATGTCATTACGTCCTTGGAACGGGGGACATGTTTCCCCTCTCATGCTCATTTTCCTAATGCATAGGCTTTTATATAAGTACATCTCAGTCTTGTAACAAATTAACATGGCAATGAAGGATTGGGGATGGAAGTGTAATTGGACAACCAATCTCCCTTGACGCGTAATGGCCTCTGAAGACAGCGGCCGCGGGGCAGGGGATGAGATAGCCGGGAGGAGAGCTTTTCTATGGGCTTATGTAGGTCTGGCACATAAAGAACCGGCCGTCTGAGAACTCACACAACAATCGGAAATGTAATTAAGAGCTGGCTGCGGCTTTTAAACGCTCGGCTAGAGCGGAAACAAACAGGCAGGGAAGAAGAAACATCCATGTATCGAAAATGTGCGGTGTGATCAATAGCCCAAGGTTTGGAAAGCATCAAAGGGGGAATGGAGTTTTGCGACTTCACTCGGGCGCCTCACAATTTCTCTCAGAACTGCGGGTTTTCAAAGCAATCTCTAATGTCATTAAACTTCTATTAAAAAGCAGTTAGAAGTGTATACTGCCTCTATTTCTCTACGAGTCAGATGTATATATTTTAAGTAAAATTTTGTAATTTTGTAAATTTTGTATTGGTAATTCTCTTGGTAAGGAGTAAGGTTAATCAAATCATCAATCTGACATAATTACCCAGCAGTGCTGCATGGACAGCATTTCAAGGAGATAATAACTATTGTCTTGTAGTCTTGTAGATGCAGGGGAATAAAATCTTAAAGCCTGATTTTTAACACAAGCCTTTCCTCAAACGCTCAGACAGAACATGCTTTGAAGCAGGTGACTGGGCAATTATTGTGCAAATCGAACCTAGAACCAGCAGAGCCGTTTCTTCAAATGCATTTGTAATCTCAACAAAATTACTGATAAAAGTGTTTGTTAACAAAGTTTTTTGGTCAACAATTACAAAGATGAATTGTAATGCTAATTAAATGTGTTTAATTAAAACGTACTGTTGATGAAATCAGTAAGAAAAAAAGTTGCAAGATTAACTGTGCACTAACAAGTTTTTTGGGGGGGAAAAAAATCTAGAAAGAGCACGATTGTTTTTATATTAACCAAATCATAGTCAATAATGTCAGGCCCAGCAGAGCCGTTTCTTCAAATGCATTTGTAATCTCAACAAAATTACTGATAAAAGTGTTTGTTAACAAAGTTTTTTGGTCAACAATTACAAAGATGAATTGTAATGCTAATTAAATGTGTTTAATTAAAACGTACTGTTGTAAAATCAGTAAGAAAAAAAGTTGCAAGATTAACTGTGCACTAACAAGTTTTTTGGGGGGGGGAAAAATCTAGAAAGAGCACGATTGTTTTTATATTAACCAAATCATAGTCAATAATGTCAGGAATTGACCTGTCTGAGCTGAAGCTGAACAGTGAATGAATACTGGTGAACTGAAGTGCTTTACTAACAGATTAATTAACACACTTAAACACATCCTATATATGAGATTGATCAGATCTATACACACACAACACAAACAAAATGACAGGATATGGAGCAAATGCAGAACTTAAAATTCTGTGCTCTCTGTAACAAATTTAATAAATAAATGTTTCAAAATATATTTAGAATCACAATTCGTCTACATACATACACATATTATTATATTTATATTTGAATATTTGGCTTAATTTTGCATTTGTTTAATCTCGTCATCGTTGCTCAGTGTTTAAAATAAAATAAAATCATTAAAAATAGTTTTTGTTAATTGAAATATGCTGAAATAAAATAAAATATAAATATTAGATCAACTGAAACTTAAAAAAGCAATGTTGCCTTGTCAACTAACTGAAAAAAAGTTGAAGTTGAAGTATACTAAAATTAGACATAAAAAATGAAAAAAATTACAAAAGCCAAAATTACTAATACTAAAATAAATACTGAAAATATAAATATAAAAACTAATACAAAATACTACAAATTACTATAATAGTACATAATACTAAAATAACACTGGCAATGCTCTATTAAATTAAATCTAAAATTAAATGTCATAATCATTCTATAAAAAAATGACAATGAATATTGACTAAATTTAAAGAATATTTTCACCAATATACAAAAACCATAACTAAATCATAAAAATGTGTAAAAATGAACACAGAATTGCTCTCAGAGCATTATTACGGTTTGTTTGCTGCTCCTTTGGTCTTTCAGGTCTGCTTTGGTGCTAACAGCCACGCTGAAAACTTTCAAAATGTTTGCACGTGTGCAATGAAGTTAATTATACCACATGTAATTTCAGCACATTAATACCGACTACACCCACACACACCCAGCTATTTTGTTTGAGTATTTACGACGGTGTCCATAATGGAGCTCCCTCCAGCTCATAAAGAGAAGCATCTCCACTGCCAGCAGCTCAGGAGTAACCTCCAAAACCCATTTCATGTTGTCACATATAAATATTCATTAACAGAATGGGGAAACCAGCTGTTTCTCCCAATTAATCTGTGCAGAGATATGCCATTTGCCAATAAATTGTTGTTGTATAATTAATGACTCTCAGTGCATGGTGAGAACAAGAGAAACAATACCTCAATTAATATTGAGATTTATATTCATAAACATGGCAAAAGCAATCGGCTAATCAGCTTCAGTAATAAACGAAGCTGCGTCCCAGGGGGATGTGGGAAAACTTTAGCAGCATGCCGGAGAAGTCAGCCACCCTGCATCCCACCAGTCTAGATAAATCAAGATGTCAGGAGATTTCTACATCAAAGCAGATGTCCCTCCCTGCTTCTCGCTGACCATGTTAACAGGCTGCACACAAGCCGGTGGTGGGAAGCGACCAGGCGAGGATGCCCACTTCAAACAGCAAACGGGCCCGAGCTGAGATCATTATCTGGGCAGGTTGAAAACACTCTGGTCAGGGGGAATTCTTATGGGACTTACCATCAGGAGGAGGAGCCGGTGTGAAGTGAACAGGTTTATCTGCGAAGGAAGAAGAAAAGAGAGAGAGGCACATTAGTTAAAAGGAAGACATCCGGACAGTCCCAGGCGGTCATCAGTCGTTTCGAATGAGTTGGTGGACAGTGGACTCTTTCACAGAGATTAAATCTCAAAATGAATAGATTAAGAGAGATCAGTTGGAATATGAGATTCTGGGTTAAATACAACTTGAGCTCTATCTACAGCATCCGGGGCGTTGCATGCTGTCAAATTTGTTTGCAGTAATGCTCTTAGCCTACACCAGTGAAACAAATGTTTAAAATATAATAATTCAATATTATACACTACTGTTCAAAAGTTTTGAGTCAGTAAGATTTTTTTTTGGAAATAAATTAATACTTTTATTCAGAAAAGGCACATTAAATTGATCAAAAGTGACAGTAAAGACATTTATAATGTTATCTATAAAAAAAATCTATTTAAAATAGAAAATATAAATTTTTAACCTTCTACTGATCAAAGAATTCAAATATATATATAATGGTTTCTACAAAAATATTAAGGAACACAACTGTTTTCCACATTGATAATAATAAGAAATGTTTCTTGAGCAGCGAATCAGCATATTAGAATGATTTCTGAAGGATCATATGACACTGAAGACTGAAGTAATGGCTGCTGAAATTTTAAATTGTAATTATATTTTATAATATTGATGTTACTGTATTTTTTTATCAAACAAATTCAGCCTTTGTGGACATAAGATAATTAAAAACAAACAAAAAAAACAACATAAAACAATCTTACTAACCCCAAACTTTTGAACTAGTAAGACAGACTTGCTTTCACAGACTTTACATCAAGAAGCGACCCACAAAAATTGTTTATCATGTAAGACTAAAGCAAATGTTCTTGGTCAGACATTGAAATGACTTGTTGGACAGATGAATTCACACCAAAAAACACACACACACAAAAAAAGGTTGTTTTCTGGAGATACAGACATAACTGTCTTGTGATCTTGACAACAGAAGTTGTTTTCTCAAGATCTCAACTTAATTCTCTCATGATTTTGACATTTTATTAAAATCTCAGCTATGTTCTTCTGATTTTTTAAATAACAAAAGTTGCTTTCTATTGCTTTTTCTTGGCCATTTCTATGCTCATACTGCTGCAACATGGATGCGAAAATGTGAGTTTATTTCAGCAACTCATTGAAGCTGAAACGTTTTTATGCCTGTCAGTGATAAAGCACTTTACTGTCTAACTGTATGACATTCGTGAAGGAAGCTACAACTTTACTGTTTTAAACACTATAGACTCTGAACATGTGTTTTCATTTTCATTATGAGCCAATTCAAGGGAAATGAACATCTGCATGATAATATAATAATGTTTGAGAAATCAACACCAAAAAAAAAACAAAACTTTTTTCAAAATTACAGATCACAAGAAAACAACACAGAAAAACAATAATGCATGTCCCTTTAGGCCTTCTATACATACAGTGTGCACAAGCAACAAACGTCCACAAAAGACTGTGTGACGAGTGGGGGCGGGGCCGAGAGCCGTGGGAACGGAGCGAGGCCGGTGGAGGGATTGAGGATGAGCGACATCTGCACCACTCACCGGTCTCGAGTCCCATGGAGGAGCTCCGGAGGGATAAAAGGAGGAGTGACGACAGTGAAAGACGAGAGAGGACTAGGCCTGGACTTTATTTTGTGTTTTGGTTCTGTTTGTGTGCGACAGTCTTCCGCGAGGGGCTGTCGCACTATTTTGTGTTTGTTTATTTTATTCAAGTTTTCTTTGAGCGTTCGCCAGTTCCCGCCTCCTTCTTCCCGATCTACAAACGTTGTTACATTGGTGCCGAAACCTGGGAGGAAGGAGGGACATGCTGCCAGAGATCCCTCGCCGCTGTGGTGAGTCCGCGGTGCCATCGAGCATGGCGGAGCAGTCTGCCGCCATAGATGCTCGAGGCGGTGGGCTGGAGTGAGTTGCCGGGGTGGCGGACGAACTCACTGCCGGCCGCCTGGGCTGTGGAGGGACGGCTGCTGTCCGTGAGGGAGCAGAGGAGTCGCCGCTGTTCACCTGAGGCCGGAGCCTGCTGCCATCCGCCATGATGGGGAGGAGCAGGGAACGGGGGACTCCTGCCGGCTGCCCGAAGTGTCGGGCCATCCACCGAGGGCTTTCCAGTGCTGCCAACAGGCATCGCGGAAGAGTTTACCCAGCTGGTGGAGGGCCGAGTGGCAGTGTGTCTGGGAATTATTTTTTTCCTCTCTCCCCTCTCTCGTCTCTGTCTCTCCTCATCCTTCCGTCTCCTTTTCTCTCGCCTCGTCAGTCTGTCCTTACCCCCAGGTACGCCGCGGCCGCCGTGATCGGCTCCCCCGGAGGGGGGAGGGGGGGAGTAGAGCGCAGTCTCGGGAGTACCCCCCCGGCCTGCGAGGGGCGATGGGGGTATGGGACGAGTGGGGGCGGGGCCGAGAGCCGTGGGAACAGAGCGAGGCCGGTGGAGTAACTGGGTCTCGAGTCCCACGGAGGAGCTCCGGAGGGATAAAAGGAGGAGTGACGACAGTGAAAGACGAGAGAGGACCAGGCCTGGACTTTATTTTGTGTTTGTTTAATTTATTAAAGTTTTCTTTGAGCGTTTGCCGGTTCCCGCCTCCTTCTTTCCGTGACTACGAACTTTGTTACAGACTATTATAAAATAAGCTTTTTTCAAAAATGTTTTAACTGGTTTTATCCATTCAAAGAAAGTCAATGCAGTTCAATGCAATTGACTTTCATAGTAAGGATAAAACAACATTCAGACATTTTTCAAAATATTTTCTTTTGTGTTCCACAGAAGAAGAAAGTCATACAGGTTTGGAACGAAACAAGGGTGAGTAAATGATGACAGAATTTACATTTTTGGGTGAACTGTCACTTTTTAAGCTCTTACACTAATAAATGTAAAAAATATTCAGACTACAAAACCAGCCAAAAGTGTTGGGCTGAAACTCATTAAAATCAGCACTGACTGAAAACGAGAACTGCCACAGAAGTTGGAAGCGACCCTACTCAGTCTAACTTTCCTCCAAACCGAAGTGATTTTGAAAACACTGAACTCGTGTACCTTATTACTCTTGACAGAACCGGCGTTTCAACAACATGCGTGTGAAGCCATCTAGCTAAAGTGCAGCTACTACACCCTGCTTCTGCAAGAGGGAATAACCAATGCCACAAAACTATCACATCAATCGCCCAGCCAGCCGGTTGCACTTACACACACACACTCCCACACACATACACACTCCCACACAGAGGGCCGGAGCTGGAATCTCTGCTCCCCTCTTCACCAGCACCCCCAAATGCCAGGATAGAGTTTAATTTTAGGCTCACTTCAAATTGCTTGTCAACAACTGAGCGAAAGGAAGATTGGAGAGCCAGCACTGGAGAGAGGAAGAGAGAGAGACAGAAAAACAGAGGTGTGAGGGAACGAGAAAGCGAGAGAGAGAGGGGGGGGGACGGCTTGCTGTGCTTCTCTCCTTGAATAATGAAGTGTCTGTTGAACTGGTCCGAGAGTCAATCATGATAGTTACATTGTTTCACCCTCCAGGAAACCTCACTAAGCTGAGGGTGAATAACACACACACAGATGTGTATCCCAGAGATAAAATATATACTGCTCACACACTGTAATGCATAACCCTGTGACTCCTCCAAGCACAGCTCGACTTTCTTTTATGTCCAGTGGCAGTAGAGGACAAAACAACTGTCTGTACTGGTCTGAGGGGAACGTTCATTTCACATGTAAATGATACACGGCTGAGAAATTCAACACAAGGTTCACCTCAAGCACATTTGCTTTACTTAAAGAGATAGTTAATCTGAAAATGAAAATTGTGTCATCTCTATCCATTATTACATTATTGTAAAGCTGTAAGCTTCTTACAGATTCTTCTGTGGATCACACATTAAGATATTTATGTCGCAGTGTCTTAGTTCATACAATGAAAATCAAAAGAAAATTTTTTTTAACCAATATTGCAATTTCAAACATGCGATTAATAATTTTTTTGATAAATTGGCATGACAAGACAGATACAGTCAGCCATTTGTGGCCACAAATAGACCTCAACATGAACTGTCAGGCAGGCTATCATTTCTGTGCATATACGTATGCCAGCCATATGTTTTCATTCAGTGTCTGTCATCCTCTTTTCCTTTCTGTTTTATTATCTAGTTTGCAGATGTGCATGTAAAGGCTGATGGATTTGGTTGTGGAGCTGAGCAGCTCTAGCCCTGTGTGGCCTCTCTTCTCTGTGCCTGCTAAATGAAAATGGAAATGACTAACCTTTGGTCTGTATCCCACTCCAACAAGCTTTCAAAAGCTACGATGCACCTCTCCATGTTAATGGTACTCCTTTCACTCCGTCTCGTTTTTTTACTCTTCTTTGAGGAGCAGGGATGGAGTGCTCTAACTGAGTTTATGTTTAAATCTAATGGAATCTGTCTGGATTAAATCGATTTTGCGACATGGTCGGCTTATAAATGAACCTCACACTCAGACTCCTTTATTGAGGGATGGAGAGGGCACATTTTTAGAATTTCATGAAGGGCCTTTTTCGGTCTTTTAATATAGATCTAATGTAGAGGCACCGTGGATCTCTTTAAGTGAGGGCATAGGTAGGATTATGATAAATGAGATAAGTAATGGTTTACAGAGGGTGCATAGGGCTGAATGCTCTCTTTTTGCTCCCTCTTACTGTTTTCTCCTTTCTAGGGCCTTTCTTTCAAAAATATCGAACATATTCCTATCTAAAAAGGTATAAATTATTGTTTCTATACAGAACAAAGTCACATATATTCTTCTATGTAACTATTTAACAATCTACTGTTAATATCTACTCATATGGCATGAGGGCCTACAAAAGGGCCTCAAAAAAATGAAGTTGTCTGTAGTGTAATTTCACATGACATCTTACAAACTTAATGCTGGAGAACGGCCAAAGACAGCCACTGAACTCAAGTGTAAACAAACCATATACATATACTGTATGTGT